GCTGCGTTTGTCGACATTCTTGAATTGTTTTACTGATTTGGAGTAATTTATTGTAAAAGTCTTTCACTTCATTTTCGTAAGGCTTGACGTAAATCGAGTTCAGCATGTTTATTACTTTAATTATGTGATCGTCAGTAACAACTTCGATGTCTTCCATCTGTGTAATTATTTCCATTTCCTTGTGATCTTCTGTTGTGAAATTAACATCAGTCCATTCCTGCATCATTCCCTCCAAATTCTGCAGCAACTCCCGTTCCTTCGTCGCCGAAAAGCTGATTTGATCGTATTTATCAATATTCGGTGCCAAATCAATTTCAATAATTTTTCGTAGCGTGGTCCCAGCGTTTGGTGTGATATCAAACCCGGCAACTTTCGACATTTTTTTCCAATGCCGTTTCATCAATGCCTCATTACACATTATTTTTATAACAGAAAGTGAAGGCTCAAAATCTTGAATTAACTTAATTGCTTTGGAACATAATTTTAAAGGGGCCGGCCAATTTAGCATATCAGGATCATCAACAGTTCCTTTAAATCGCAAAGATAAATTTTCATCTTGTGCTTGGCGCAGTTTGCTCCTGTAAACCTTTTGCGTTTTCAACAAATCTTTGAGATATTTCTCAACAGTTTCTTTAACCTTATTGTAATTTATTAAATCAAATTGCCCATCTAGCCACACTGATATATTCCTCTGGACGTCTAAACACAGTTTCAACAAATGGTAAAAAGGATAAACGTAATTTTTAAGATCGTCAAATTCTGAATAAGTCGACTTGGGAAAACTTAAAGAAACTTCCTCGCGATTTATCCAGTCGATTTTAGTTTCAATGTCTTTTATTTTTACCATGTGGAGTGTTATAGTGTTTAAATAATTTCGCACATTCTGAATATTGTCCATTGAATCCAAAATATTGAGTAAAGGGTAAACATCTTTAATATCAATGTTAATATCCTCGATAACTTTCTGTAACTTTTCTTCAGCTTCAAATTTAAGTTGTTCAAATGTAGTACTGTTTTCTTCTAAAACTGGTAAAATTGCATCTAACCAATTAATCGCTTTAGCATTTATTATTATGTGATTATCATTCAAAGGTCCTAACTGAATCAATTTTGTAAGATAAGTTAATGCTTTTATTACTCGTTCTTTTAGTTCATCCAAATACTCCGTCCTTACCCACGCCATGTATTTTCCTATTTCGATAAGTTCTTCCGTTGTTGTAGGTTTTTGCGTTGCTCTCATATAAATAATGTCAAAAGTCTCACAAATGTCGTTATTTTCCCATTCGTGTTGAGCACTTAAGCTGTTGAATATGTTTTCAACAATATTTAGTAAAGTTTGTTTGATGATTTCTCTGTACTCGGTTATTATCAATTGTCCTATGGTAAAATACGCATTGTCGGGAATAAAAGCAACCTTCGGCAAATATGTTTTAAAATATAAGAGCTGTTTGCAACCATCGTCAAAAATTAAATCACTGGTTGAAATTGTGTTACCGCTAGAGCAAAGTTCGGTATAAATATCCACAAATTTGTCATCCAAGTTTTTTATATAGTTCAAAATGGGTTCGTACTTTTGTTTTATATTTCGACTAATTTGGTCAAGAACTGAATTAAAGAAGTGGTCCGTTAAACACAAATGTATTTGTTTGTTGTCGAATCCTTTAATCTTGTATTTTTCCAAAACGTAAAATTGTCTGGCGCTGTCAATTATTTTCCGGAGAAATTTATTATAAATCTCAATGATATCATCAGCTGTTGGTTGAAGTATTAAACGATCTTTGAACGTTATATTTAGCTTCAAATATGGTATATGTTCTTTAGAACCCGTAAAACTTACAACATGTAACAAGGTATGAGCTATCGTTCTGCTTATATTAACTGATAGCAATCCCGTGCAAGCTCCCAAATAACTTCTGGCACGTTGTGTATTCACTTTCTCGTGTTCTACTAAGACAACAATCTTTCGGTAAAATTCCTGCAGTCGCTGAGCGGCGTCATTAGCGTAATCAAAGATGTGTTTTTGAAAGTCGCTCGTATCGAGTTGACATTTCAGCGACGAGTGCAAATTAAAGAGTTCGTAAGGTAGTTTCGTCACACACTCGTTTAGAATTCTTCTAATTAAAGGGTGGTGTAATATAAACTTACTTTTTAGTTCTTTTCGTCTTTGGAGAAAAATCGAATAGTTTTTCGTCCTTCCTAAATGTTTGTACGGTTCAATTCGGAATTGTTTCTTCACTGTCTTTAATTTCATTTCTACTCCCGACTGTTGTGTTACTTTCAAGAATTCTTCGCTAGCTTCCGCCATGATCTTGTTGAGTAAAACGGGATAGTTGTGTTCGAGTCCTCTCGCATCGACTTTTTTAAAAATGTCTTTCTCTTGGAATCGCGACATCGTTGTAGAAGGACAATTCTGACAAAACTCGAGAATATTATTATCAGCGGAAGCGATGTGGTGTAACGGTGCTACTTTAACGCTCCGTTCTTCAGATTTCTTTTTCTTAACAATTTTATTCATGTATAACATTATACGGTGCCGGCGTTTTAACTGTATAGCAAACTGTCTCAAATTATCACTCGAGAATGGCGCAACTGAGGGTGAAACTGAATTCCTGCACTTAATTCTGTGCCATAATTTACTTTTTTTCGGTTTATTTTCCATTTTTTAGCACACCACTCACTATACAAACCACTCACTAGCGATTTATCAATGCTTACCTAGCAACGCCGTTGGTCGATTTTCCCTAACCTTGAACTTCAAAACAATCAAATTTAAACATTGGAAAAATATCAGGAAAAATGCCAGTTCTCGAGACTGACTGTTTAATGTTAGTTACTTGCTTCCGTTGAGACAGTTTGTGTTCCAGACATCCCTAGTTGTGGCCTGTTTGTTATTAGTTGTTGGTCGCTTGTTTTCTCTCTCTTTCTTTCGCAGGAACTTGCAACGTTATTAATTTTGACGAACATTGTTGTATTAACCTTTCACACTTTCCTTCGATACGAAGAGTAAATTTTCTGCGATTTCCAGGAGTTTAATCCTCGTTTTGTTGGTTGTTAAAAGAGTAACACCGAAGTCGTAACATTCCACTTTATTCTTTATTGCCTTAATAACTTTTATTTGAACGTAAATACGACAGTTAGCTTCGGCTGCGATACAGATGCAACTTGCTGGCGTGACCAACAACGATTCAAAAATTACAACCACCTAAGTGATTAACCACTGATATTTAAAACAGCAAACCCGCATTTTTATCCTTACATTCACTATCTATTCAAATTAAAACATACCCTTTTCTATATCAAAATAACGTAACAAGAATTTATTAAATTTTATTAAAAGTAGGTATACAATAAAAATTATGCTATTTCACCCATTTTGCAATTAAAATAACAAGTCAACATTTGATTGAAAACCTTTTAAGATTAATAGGCTCCTTGAGTACATTACAAACTTCCAAAGCCTTTATTCACCAACTCCTCAAGAAAACTTTCATTTATGTGACATCAAAATAATCTGTAACATGATCTGTCAGCAGTTATTCAAAGTCTGTAATTTATAAAAGTGAACCAATCAATCTCAAACTTTTTTGCTGTTTTTCTGTTAGCAACAGTTTCAGTTAAAGTTTACTTTCTTTTACATTCTTTATGAGCATCTAATAAAATTACATTTTAATAGCACAAGCATTTCAAAATTTGTTAATTTCTTTAAAAGTCAAAACAAAAATACAAAAAAATAATTAATGATTTACGCTGCGTGCAGGTTTCCAGCAGTTTATTTTTTGTTGTATTAAACACCATGACTAGTAAATCTGGTTCAAGGCTTTTATATTCTTTGCTTCAAAAACATTTTTACACTTTTGTTAATTAAGAACACAAACATGTTTTCGTAAAACCCTTGTTCGTTTATTGATGAAAAAACTACGACTGCCTTATTTCAATAAGAAGATCATATTGCAGTAGAAAGCAGTTTTTTTTTAAGAGAATAAACGAACAAATCTGAGCTATCAATTTTCCAGTGATGTAATTTTTTTTTAAACAAACCGCGGATTTATTCTAATGGAAGTAAAACAAGCTCATAGCAAAATGACAGCTCTGAAATTATATACAGAAAGAAACTTGTAGCGGATATGAAGAAAAATATTTCATGAGTTTACGCTTCGCTTTTTAGGGTAATTGTACACAAAACGACAAAGCCTTTATTTTAAACAAACTCTAAAACACATAGTGACTATATTTACCCATAACTTTACATTCAGAAACCTTGATATTAAATACAGATAGAGACAAAGAGACAGATGCCGTTAGAAATTAAATTAAACGTAAAATCAGATAATCAATGAAATAAAATATTTACTCAAAATTACATAAAACCTCTCAGTAGAAAAAAATAATGCTTTAAAATCAGTAAATGTGGTGGAAAAGGCAATAACAATTAAACAATGCATTATAATTAATAAGTGTTTCTTTACAATAACTAACACTTGAAGGTTGGTTTGTTAAAATAAGTAATTTTGTTGTAACCTGGTGGTAGTTTCGTGCGCTTATTCCTCGTGTTTTCGCCCTCTCGTGTGGTTTCAGTGCTGTCAATTGATAAATAATGGATATGATTAAACGTTTGCTCCAGAGGAATATTTAAACGTGAAAATCGTCGCATAATTAAGTACCGCACATAATTTGAACAAGCCATTAGTGTGTTTTAAAAACAATTGAATTAAAAGCAATTAAAAACTAGTTATTGACCAAAGTATTGTGGTTGTGTAAAAACTGCCATTTGATGGCAAAAAGAAAAACTAGGTGTCAATTTTTAGTGGCCGGCTGTTCAGGGTTTCCTATTTAGGCGTAGATCGCGCAAGCGCCCTCTGGTGTCCAGCCTCCAGAAGAGCGGTTCACTCGAGATATCAGTCGGAATTTCGTCTTAGTAAGCGTCGCGCCGCTCGCGTCAACTTTGAAAACGTGTGCGCCAACTTTGGGAATGTAGGGTTTTTAGCGAATTCGCTAGAAGTGTAACATTTGTGATTTTTGTGCTTGCCGGCATCTGGAAAACTTTTAGCACGCCCTGCAAGTGACTTTAGGTAAGCAGAAAACTTTTTAAACCAGCAATTAAAGACCACTCTGCACCTGCATCCGCGCGATTTATTGCCGCACCGGAAGCACACATTGTGGCACGTTTAATTGATTTAATTAAGATTCAACACTAAAGCTCTGACACGTGCAAAATTTGCTACAAAATAAGTGGTTTGAACTAAAAATATTTGCCAGACGGAAATTATTTTAAGCAAAAAATTAGTCCATTTAACAGAACGCACAAAACGCGATATTTATTCAAACCATTTATCGAAAAGTGGGTGGTTCTATTTACATATTAATTTTGGCAAGTCATTTTTATATTAATTTACATAAATTGTATATCACAATTGGTGGATGCGCCGGGAAAGTTTAATTACAATACACCATTTTATTAATTTACTTAAATTTAAAATACAAAAATAAATGTGCCGGTAAAATATACGTTTAGAAAAAATATTTTTTGCAAACAAGACAAAAATAAAACGACTTCAACCAACAGATGACATTTATGTAAAAATATTTTAAGATTTTTAAATTTGTGCGAACGTTGAATTGTCACAAATAATGTTTACAGTGGCGTTGGCTTAATTAATTCTTGCTTAAGAATTATAATTGTAATAACAGTAGGTGTAAAGTGTTACCGGAGTATCTTTGAAATTATAATAAGGTAAGAAGTTTGTTGTTGTCTGGATTTATGAGTTGTCACTAATTTAGTATTCAGCTAACAACGCAAATAATTAAACAAAAAAAAATAAAATTTCCAAATCAGGAAAATTAGATGTAGTTTTTGCAAATTTTATTAAAATGAAAAAAGCAAAACGCTTAGATTAATATCGATAAAATTTGGAAAATGATACCATTAACAAAAACTTGACATTTAATTTAATTTTTTTATGAATCATAAGAGTTTTCGTCTGGTTTAAAATTAAAATTAAAAAACTTGTTAGTTTATGGGTGTCAGCCTTTATTAATGTTTTAAAATTTTTGACAAATAAGGCCGTAGTTTAAACTAGAATTTAGGGAAGTAATGATATTAGATGGAATTTATTCGAAAATGGGCGTAATATTCAAATATAGCCGATGCTGTTCTAAAATTACGTGTTATTATTGAATAATTATGCAGTAGACTGTGCCCGTTAACTTATACAAATGTATGTGCCTTAGGCCGGAAACTGATTAATGCAATATGGCGCCGCTTAATTCGAATTCAGTGCCCCGTCTAAGGTGGATGTGCTGTCGCTAATGTATTCTACCGAAAATACCATCTTATGATTCCGCACGGGACTTGCATTGACTATTACATGCGAACACATTTTCTCCGGGTTTGCCGAAATTTGACTTTTTTATGTATTACTTCCTTCAGCAGATTTATTTGGGTTGATGGTTCAAAATGAAAACAGAGACTTTACAGTATACAATTCTTTTCAGGACTGCCGAAACAGATTTATTTTGTTCACTTTCCGCTTATTATAATTTGGGTTCACACATGTCTGTTTGTGGCAACAGAGACAACGACAAGAAATGGGCATAGGGAGGTTTGTCCATCGGTGGGTGTTTAAAATCGTATTTCTCTGTTTGAGGCTGTGTGAATCTGCGACGCTGTTCACTATTGTCAATTGATATGCCATTTTCAGCAGTTCGGAAATTGATCCCGAGACTAAAGTTAGGACGAGGCCCTTGGGATAAACTAACATATCTTATCAAAGGTTTCAACTCGAAAACCACCTTCTTGTCCTGTCATAGCAGTTTTTACGAAAAATCAATGAAACAAAATTGGCATAAAAATATGAATAAAAGAACTAAACCTGTTTCACAAACTCTTTTTATTTTACGCTTTTTCCATATTCTGAAACGCCTATAAATTCTGGTTCTCGTAAATTACTTATTCCCTTAACATGACCAAACCATCTGATGGCAAGTGGGTTTTTCTTTGTCTTTCGATTCCTCTGTTATGCCATTGATAAAATATTTACGTCTATTTGAAAAAAAAAAACAGTCTTTTCAAACTGTTTAAATATTTGAAGATAAATATTGCATAAAATCAAAAGTACATATTTACTCAAAAAATAACCAGCCTGTATAATAAACAATTACTTCTTAAAATTGTAATCACTTAAATAAGAATTTCCTGAGTGAAAAACTTCCAACTCACTTAAACATTATATTAAAAATGCAATATTATAAATAGCAAAAATGTAATCTTTATTTCCTTTTAAAATAATCCAAGCTTCGAGACTTTGCTTATCTCCTTGATAAATTATTTCATTTCTACAATTCTGTATCGATTTCAAGATCTAAAACTGTGGTCAACCCAACATTATCCGGATGATTTTGTATTGAAATATCACGTTCAATAGCTTGTACACAACTCAATCTCCGCAATATATTTTTTCATGTGCCCGTATCTGACAGCTTATATTACCGCTCGACGTGTGCGCTCCCCTTTCAACGTTAATCAATTAACAGGAAAACTTATGACGTCAAAAATTTGACGCTTGGCTTGGACTGCACTCCGAAAAACCGCAAACTGACAACACCCATAAACAAAACCGTTATTTTAACTTTAAAATCCAAATATAACAAACTTTATTTGTACATAATGTAACTACTATGTATTGTTACTTAAAACTAATATCTAAATACTAATAGTGATTTCAATACATTTTCTAAATAAAAATTTTGAAATTGTAAAATAGCAGTATTAAAATAATCAAAGCGAAAAAATAGTAAATGCACGTGGCTAATTTTTTTAATAAAAGTTAATCACACAAAATCTGTTTGGCATTTTTTATTATTGTACCAAAAAATATAGCATTTTTATTAAAAAAAAGAGAAGTGCAAAAATGGTGGATGCGCCGAGCAACCCTAAACGTGTTTTGTGTTTTTATTCCATTTAAGCCCAGATTGGATAACACATTTTGCAGTTTACAAAAATTCGCACTTAAATGCATGAAGAGGTTTCAGTTCAGCTTTTCTATCTTATTTCAAAAACTTGCTAAAATAGTTTCAGTTTCTAAATTGTGACAATATTTAAAGTTACCGTTAAAAGGACAAAATGGTTTTGTAGAAATGCAATTTAGTGTTGATAAAAATTGGATTTTTAAAGCAATTAACACCACAAGAAAAGTTCTCTTCGTGATGTTAAATTAAGCTAGAAATATAGTAGCGCTGTGAAATTTGTAAAGCAATTAAGAAAGAAATCTAAAGTTAATGAAACACTAGTGCACATATGCCACACTGTGTCTCGGTTTTCTCACTAAATTAATCAAATAAAAACTGCTCAAATCATAACATAAAAGCTTATTTTATAGTTATAAATAGTTAGACGCAATTAGAACAATATTAACTGTGCTCAATACAACGAAAGTCGGTAAAGTAACAGAAACGGCTTTTTAATTGTTATGGTTCGAGGGTTTGAGTGCAAAATGCATATTCTGCAGCATGAATATTTGAATCAAATCCTTTATTATCTCGTGGAATTACACCAACAGAAGGCTGAGGCTAATTAATTTTGCACATATACACCTGCAACACTACGCTTAGATCTCTAAGAGAAAACAACAAAATGATTGTTATTGCAGCTAAAGGGATGTTACGTCCTGATTGAAAATGAAATTCTCAAAGTGAATCTCAAATTTCAAACATAGCAACCAGCCTACAGTTATCTATAAAAACTTTGTTGTCAAACAGTCTAACCAAACCAAATTTGTAGCTATTTGAGTCACCCTTATTGCGAAAAAATTGTTTTGCATTATTCCATTGTGGTTTAAAGAACCTGAAAGTGAAAGAAATTGCAATTTATATCCAATGATAGGGATTTGTGAGCTTGAATGTTGGAATTGATCCATGTTCTTGAATTAGAGTTGAAAGTAAGATAAAATAAATTAAATTCACGCAGTCATTCTTAGTAATTTATGGCTATGGTTATGCGTACTTAAACTACATTAACAAATGTCTCCGTTAAACAGAAAAATATTTATCTTAATCAAATGTCGAAAAGAAAGATAAAAGAGAAACAAACTTTCAGATGGATTGTTTAAAAGTGATAAAATAATTTAATATGTGGCACTAAATTGAGTTAGAAACTTTTTCATGCAATAATCCCTTGTGTCAACGTAAAAGAATAGGTCCAAAAATAGACCAAACTAACACTGTGTGTAATTTTCGTAATATTGTATTAAAATATGATGTCGTATTATTAGAGCCAAATTTAAATCTTGGGTGTGTATAGAATAAGTTTAACAAATTTATACTTTGTTATAATAGAAACAAAAACAAATAAAAAAAAAAGTTATGAAACAAAACATACCGTAGCAATTCATAAAAGCGAGCCGTTGCTGTATTTATAATTTGTGTGCTTAATTATCTTCGAGTTATTAATAAAATAAATGAAGCTAATTTTTGTTCCTCCGTAAAATTTAACGCTTAATATAATTATTGATCGGTGCATGTTTTTCCTTCTTGCTAAACATTGTTAAAAAAAAAATAATGTGTTAGTAAAATAAAATTTCAAACAAATTTTAAGCGCTCTGATAAATTAAGAAACTTGTTTTTTATTTTTTATATTTTACCAGAATTAAAATTGTTAACACAATAAATAAATAAATAAAAATCTACTTAAAACAACGTAAAATATTTATTGAGTGCTTCAGAGTCTTAAAGAATATAACATTAAATAGCAATATTTGCAGTGAAACCACAAGACAAATAAATTAATCACACTGATAAGCAACTTGTCAAAAACTTTTAACATTTCCGTTCACTTTCTTTTGTCAGAGTAGTTTTTATGTTCGTCCCCTCTTTCACGTCAAATTGTGTTAGTTGTGGCGTCTGTTCGCAACGGAAATGATAATAATTAGACAGTTGAAAAAGCTTGAATATAAGTGCGATAATACAAGCAAAGGAATGAACGAATTAAGGCTAATTGCTTCAATAAATATGTGAAGTTGAGGGTTTGAAGGTAAACAGAAAAGGCGGTTGTGTGGGTAGTTTTACTTTCGCGTTA